GATCTTCTGATGTGAAGATACTGTGTTATTGAAAACTTAGTTGATATAACTTGTTTCTCCAATAGGTTAAGTTCAAATCAAATTTGTCTTTAAAGGCATATTTGGGGGAGGGAGTAGGAGAGGGTTAAGAACAAAGAGAGAAGGAAGCAAAATGGACTATGGTGGAGAACTATGGGTAACTGGTGGTGGTTGCACTATGGTAATAATATCTGATGATGGTATCCAAATATCACTCAATGAAAATTTTAATTAATTAAAAAATAAAGACATATATAAGGGCAATAGTTGAAATGGTAGTGCTGCCATAATAAAAGACTCCCAGTATATTCTATTCAAGGATTCTGCTTTTGCCTTCATGTGCTAGTCGTTCCTTTTTCAAAATTTGTGAAATTTATAGAAAACTCTCCTTTTTAACATTCCCTTAAATTTTGTCAGTTACATCACCTTTCTATGCAATTACCTTCAGAGGTAACTGGCGTCTTCTTTTATTATGCTTGGCTTAACAAACATCCTAGTCACTGAGTAACAACAATTAAATGAAGGGCTATAAAGCAAATTCATAAATATACTTCTGATCTGTCTCCTGCCATCCCCAGGAGAACATCTAAATGTGTTGTCAAAGAAGTATACAAAGGAGAATAACTTCCTCTTGTTTTCTGAAATTATATTTGGCATTACCATTAAGATAAAGGAAATGATCAACAAGTCATTACAAAAATTGTATAATGAGGGAAGTTACTGTTCTCTTCACTGTTTTTTATTTGTACTTAACATTCAAAATACCAAAAAAAAAAAAAATCTAGAGAGTGGAGATACCACTGTAATTTAATTAGATGAAATACTATGCCTCTGAGCAGTAATTCTACCCAAGGCCAAACTTTCTAACCTATACTTTCAGAACTCAGAGGACTTCTGATCAGAAACACATGTTGAACTTTCAGTGTGCTCAGAAGAAACAGTTGATATCTCAGGCCTCCCCTGCTGGCGCAGCAGTTGAGAGCTGGGCTGTGAGGCTGCCCACAGCCTCTGCAGCATGGGTTTGTTCCCTGGCCGCCGAGGGTCCCACAAAAAAAAAATAAATAAATAAAAATAAAAATAAAACAAACAAACAAAAAAAAAACCAGTTGATATCTCACACAAAATAAGGAGCAGCATTTGGGTTGTAAAGAAACCAGGGCATCAGTGGGTGAAGATTGTGCCCAGAATGAACATTGGAATATTCCATATAACATTCCCAAAGGCCCATGATTCTCCACTGCTCTACATGTAATGCAAGCAGAGTCAACAGCACTTAGTAAAGGTTGAGGGCCCTACTCAGTGGGAGTATGTCTTCCTAAGCCAAGACATATGTAAAACATAATGAAGAAGACAAGAATAGGTAACAGCAACATGGATGGAACTGTAGACGATAATATGAAGTGAAATAAGTCACAAGGAGAGAGACAAATACTGGATGCGGTCACTTATATATGGAATACAGAGAAACATAACAAGGGGTCATTCAAAACCAAAGCAGTAAAAACAATTAGTATCTGACTGCAAAGCTAAGGCAACCAGAAGGGGAGGGTGATGAGATGGGTGTGGAGGAGGGGGGTTCCCAGTGGAACATGGTAGAAGGTTTTGGGCCACCGGTGGTAGGCAGGATTGAAATGATAACATTTGTGGAGGTTTGAACTTACAACCCCTGAAGCAGATACAGAGATGTTACTTCAATAAACAGAATGCGGGAGAAAAATCTAGCACAATGATCACCATAACCCTATATTCCACTAAGCCAAGTTCCTTTCTTGGAGTCATGCCTAACTGGCCAGCCTTTATATAACTGCTTTCTTCCTCAAACTTCCACCAATTTCATCTTCTAGATAATAAAAAAAAAACGTTACGACATTTAAAAATAATGATTAGGTAGAAAAGATCAACTATTTATTTATTTATTTATTGTTTTGTAAGATTTATTTTTTTTATATTCCCCATACACGTGCACCCTCCTTATTTTGACCCCAACCCCTCCTTTCCCCGCCACCCCCATAATGTGTCTCTGGCTTATAGTTGCTTGTTGATTTTGATTTTTTCTTTATTATAGTTATTCTTTTTCCTGGTCCCTTATTTAGGTTTTCTAAATTCTTGCTATGAGTGAGACCATGCGGTATTTTTCTTTTCTTTCTGGCTTATTTTGCTGAGCATGATCCCTTCCAGCTCCATCCATGTTGCTGCAAATTGCATGAGTTTATCTCCATACAGCTTTCCATAGTGGTTTGACCTACTAGGAATCTCCTACTAAAGATCAACAATTTAAATTTCACCCCATTTTCTCAAACCCCAGGGGTAAGGTTCTAGGGCTGATCTAAAGTTAATTGTCTTTATTTTGATTTTCTGCACAGAGACTCCCACTTATGACTTTTATTCACTACATTTCTTAGCCTTAGAATTCTCTGCAAAGTTTTGGTGAACATGTAGCAATTATTATTTACTTCAATGGTATGGCAATGATGAACAAATCCTGCAGTTCTCTAGAGACTGAAAACTGAGTTCATTAAAGTTCATTCAGGGATGGCAAATAGGCTTATTTTGTGTAGTAACTGTGACTGTCTTTTAGGAACAGCTTCAAATCTTGGAATAAGAATAATTTTGAAGCTAGATTCACACTTACTGGGAAAGAACACCATGATGCATTAACAATTTGTGGAACAGGCAAATGAATGCTATGGGTATACACAAAGTTACTCACTTTTTAAATGTATTTACAGTTCTTGGCATATGCCAATTAACATGGTTTTTATCCCCCTATGTGTAATCTCACAACATATTTTTTTTCAAATCCTGAATTATGGAAAATATTAGTTACAATGGTAAAATAAAAAAAAATAAAGTGATAAACATTCTAAAAATTATTTCTAAAACAACTACCTGTCTGGAAGTTGCAGAATACAACTCAATTTTCTAATACTGAGCAGAATAAAAAAGAAAACTACAGAAACATGAAACAAACATTATTTATAATTAATAAAAGTAAGAGAAAGCTTTGTTTACTGTTGCCTAAATAAAATAGGAAAATGTGAGGGTTAATGTGTAAAGCAGTGGTTCTTAAATAATTTAACTTTGGATGCCTAAACTACAAAAAATCCCCTCCAAGAAAAATGCCACATGCCACATTTCATTACAAAATAATGAAAAATTCTGAGAAATCAATATATTCTTGGAATTTATCTACTATCTTCAAATCAAAGGCATCTTAGTCAAATGGAAGAAAACTTTCTTCAGTAATTGACAGATAATATGCGCTCAATCAATAATTTTGCACAAATGAATGAACATGAAATTAGGAGACTTATATTGCAATTGTGTACTCATAGATAAGTCACCTTAAAGCTTTGGGCTTAGTTTCTTAAAAAGTTCTATGATGTGATTTTCAGTGTTTGAATATATACTTTTGCATATCACTCCATATCTATATATAATGAAAAAAATCGAAAAAATATTAGTTGACTTTTATGCTTTAATTATGGAAGCAACAAGACTGAAAAATTGATTTGAACAAGGTGAATTAATTTCCCTCTATATCCAACCTACAGAACATACTCTTATCCTAGTTTCAAAAACTAGTAAGGTATGTGACAAGAATGTATGAAGTCAGAAAATAAACCTGTCCTAAGCAATTGCCAATTATAAAACCAAAGTATCACAGTTTAGTACTGAAAATGCTTCTGTTTTTAAAAAGCATTGACTTTTAGTTACTGACAGTCTGTGTCACTAATTTACAGTTCCAGTTTTCATGTTTGCCCTTTAGATCTTATAATTATTATAGATACTTCTTAAATGTATAAATGGGAAAAATGTGAGTGGAGCCAAAAGACTTAGAATAGAACAAAACTCAGCTACTTAGTAATTCTGCTAAAAAAAAAAAAAAAAAGAAATCATTTAACTTCCATAGACTTGGTTTTTCTGATCCAGGATAAGGTGATAATGTTACTTGCCCTGAGTGACTTGTAAAATTATTTTGAGCAACAAAATACATATGTCTTAAAAATTTTAAAGTTTCTTATGTTAAATCTTTTAAGAAAGTAACCCCACTAACTAACCTCTTTTGCAAACTGTCTACATTTTTAGGGACAAAGCTCATTTAACAGGAGATGAATTGACACTTGTAACAAATGAATGGTCCTGAAAGTGCTTTTGCTCATTAAACATGTTTTAGCTTGTGGTTAAGTGTAAGATGATGAGAGACAGATGCACAAAAATTATCTTAAATTACACAAGGGCTTAAAAATTAAGGGACAACTGTTTCACAAAATTTCCTTATAGAAGACTCAAATAATCAGAAAATGATCTGACACATGCTGATCCTACATGGAAATTTAAGTGATAATGTCCCTGATTCCAGCATGAGATAGAGTGGAGATACCAAGTGGGACATGGCTGATTTCTAGAGGAAATACTCAAGTGCACACATGCTATTTTAATGTGGAAGTTTCAAAAGGAATTGGTGATTCTGGCTTGTCACCAAAATACACCCAAATTGTCAAAATTTGGATACAATGATATAAATATGTTATATTCTTGACTTGATAGGGATGTGAAGCAAAGTATCAGCAACCAATATAATCAATCATCAATATAACCAACAATGATTAAATATGAAGAATCTTAATAATAAAGACATTTATGCAGAGATCCTCAGAAGTAAAAATGCTGGAATGGAAACATGCTCAATATATGCTCTTTCAATATAAATATTCTAAACTACAGTATTCCTCAATGTGAAAAATAACAGCAGATTACAAAGGGACTTTTCGATGATGTCTGCCTCTGATTAAGAATATAGCTAGAAAACATATTTAAGTTTATCACCATTAAATAGGCATAAAAGTAAAAGCATTTTCAATGCAGCAAATGAGCTTAATTCTTGTAAACATCTGGAAATTAAAGGTAGGATAGTAATGTTTTATATAAATGAGTTCTCAGACTAGCAAGTACGAGATGGAAAGGAGAAAGATGCTTACCTTCAGTAATAAATCTTTTTTCCCATAACGAAGTTCCTTCAGCTGGGCTTGGATTTTTCTTGACTGCAAGAGCAGAAATATGGATTAGGGCTTTGATTTCATGTCTATTTCAAACCTGAAGTTTTAAATTCTTTCAAATTGCACGATAATAAATTTTACAGCCAAATAAAAAGGAGCCCAACTGGTTTGGAAATGAAACAGAAAAGCTTAATCTCTACTGGGGAGTCAGACATACAGCTATTGTAGGCAAGACATGAACATAAAAGTCCATTCCAAGGAAGCCCATTTTTTATTTTTATTTTTATTTATTTATTTTTTAAAGAATAGATTTTATTTTTATATTCCCCATACAATTGCAACCCCCCATTTTGACCCCAATCCCTCCCCTCCCACCACCCACCCCCCAAAAAGTGTCTCTGGTTCATAGTTTTTTGTTGATTTTGATTTTCACTTTCTTATAGTTATTCATTTTCCTGGTCCCTTATTTAAGTTTTCTAGATTCCTGCTATGAGTGAGACCATCCGGTATTTTCCTTTTTCTTTCTGGCTTATTTCGCTGAGCATGATCCCTTCCAGTGCCATCCATGTTGCTGCAAATTGCATCTGTTTATCTTTTTTGAATGCTGAGTAATATTCCATGGTGTATATGTACCACATCTTCTTGATCCAGTCATCTATTTTTGGGCATTTGGGCTGTTTCCAAAGTTTAGCTATTGTAAACAGTGTTGCTATAAACATAGGGGTGCAGGTGTTCTTTGGAATGGATGTTTCTGTGTCCTTTGGGTAAATACCTAGGAGTGGAATTGCTGGATCATATGGAAGCTCTATGTTTAGTAGGTCCAGAAATCTCCACACAGCTCTCCATAGTGGTTGGACCAGTTTGCACTCCCACCAGCAGTGCAGAAGAGTTCCTTTTTCTCCACACCCTCGCCAACATTTGTTGTTGCTAGTTTTTTTAATATGTGCCATTCTCACTGGTGTAAGATGGTATCTCATGGTAGTTTTGATTTGCATTTCCCTGATGACAAGTGATGTTGAACATTTTTTCATATGCCTGTTGGCCATTTGCATTTCCTCTTCAGAGAAGTTTCTTTTTAGCTCTTCTGCCCATTTTTTGACTGGGTTATTTTCTTTGTTGTTGCTGAGTCTCATCAGCTCTTTGCAGATTTTTGTGATCAGTCCTTTATCATTAGTGTTGTGTGCAAAAATGTTCTCCCAGTCGGTGGGGTTTCTCTTTGTTTTTGTTATTGTCTCTTTTGCTGTGCAGAAGCTCTTTAATTTGATGTAGTCCCAGCTGTTTATCTTTGCCTTCACTATCATTGCTTTGGATGATGTGTCTGTAAAGATGTCTTTGATGTGAATATCACGTAGTGTTTCGCCTATATTTCCTTCTATGTATTTTATGGTTTCAGGTCTTATGTCTAGTTCTTTAATCCATTTTGAGTTGATTTTTGTGTATGGTGTGAGGTAGTGGTCAAGCTTCATTCTTTTGCATGTAACGACCCAGTTTTCCCAGCACCATTTATTGAACAAACTTTCTTTGCTCCAATGCATAGTCTTTGCTCCTTTGTCAAAGATTAGTTGACCATAAATCTGTGAGTTTATTTCTGGATTTTCTATTCGATTCCATTGGTCTGTGTGTCTGTTCTTGTTCCAATACCATGCAGTTTTGATGATTATGGCTTTGTAGTAGAGTTTGAAGTCTGGGAGTATGGTGCCTCCATTCCCTTCTTTTTTTTTCAGGAGAGCTTTGGAAGCCCATTTTTTCAAGGTGATATTTAAAGGGTGTTTTTTTTTTCCCCCAAAGTTTTATTTATTTATTTATACAAGCACTGGGTACAGTCAGAAGCATGGGAGAGTGAGAGAATTCACCAGAGCCAGAGTGGAGAACAGAACAGGCAGACTGATGAAACACACTGCTGAGGGGAGCAGTGGGTGGCAGGAGAGGTCTGCGTGCCATGTGGGACCCTCGCCCAGCGCCCGGGGATCGAACCGGTGCTGCAGAGGCTTCGGGCAGCTTCCCAGCCCAGGGCTCAACCACTGCTCCACCAGGGAGGCCCTAAAGGGTGTTTTTTTTTAAAGATATTTTTACTTAGCATGTAAGAACTGAGGTGTCGGCCAGAGGTGCGGGGGTGAGTGGATTTACCACAGACAGGGTGGGGAACAGAACTGGATGAGTGATCTACTTGAAATACACTGCTGAGGGGAGCAGCAGGTGAGACAGAAGAGGTCTACTGCACCACGTGGGTTATCTCCCTGGCTGGCTGGGGATCCAACATGTGCTGCAGTGGCTGGCGATAACTTGATAGCACTTTTAACCACTGCACCACCAGGGAGGACCTAAAGGGTGTTTATTGTTCTTTTCTTGCATTTCTCTAACCCAACACACACACACCACACTCACACACACATTTTAAGTCACTCATACCTCAACAACAATTCAATTTTATATGCTAAATGTAACCATACAACTGCATGTCTCAGTTTTCATTGTTCATTTTCAACTAATTATTAATTTAAGATTAAATATGGCTAAGTTAACACTGATGATCAAATTTGACCTGACATATGCCCAAGTGTAAGGCAACAAGCAAATGTGACAGGAGGTGAGGAAGTCACTTCAAATGCTCAGATGCTGAGGTCAAGTTGTGAAAGGTATTTGTCCTTCAGAAGAAACAACTTTTAAGATCATTGTAATAGTAAATGTGCTTTGAACAAAGAAGTCTCTCCCAGCAGACATGTTTGGCCATCACACTGTAATAGTAAGACACAGGTGATGATCAGATGTTCCCATTTTCTAGAGCAGACGCAATTTCAAACTTTCTAACAGAAGGACATCAGTCTTTCTCCATCTAACATTATAGATTCCAGTCCTTTAGCAGGATAAAGAAAGAACACAAATAGATTATCGACATCCCATTGGAAAAACAGTTGAATGGGAATGTAAAATGGTATAGTCACTGTGGGAAAATATTTTGTCAGTTTTTCATAAAGTTAAACATACACACACTGCATAATTATACAGCAATACTTTCTAGGCATTTACCCAAGAGAAATCATAATGTACATAAATAAATATTTATAGTACCTTTATTTATAATAGTTAAAAAGGAGAAACAACCCACCTGACTTTTAACTAGTGAATAGCAAATATATATATATATATATATATATATATATATATATATATATAGTACATTCATGAAATGGAATTCTGGAATACCACTGAGCAATTTTAAAAATGAGTTAAGAAATTTTTAAAAATGAATTGAAACATACAACAATGTGGATGGATGACAAAAGAATTACACTATGTGAAATAATTCAGAAGCTATATTTTGTATAGCATCTTTTATATGATATTCTGGAACAGAAAAAAATAGGCAGAGAAATCTGATTAGAAATTAATGGAGATTTTGGGGGAAAACAGAAATGCTCTCTATCTCTTGAAGATATCCATTGCTCAAGCTTATCAAATTTACAATTAAATAGGGTAAATTGTATGTAACTGTTGCTATGAAAATCCTTTTTAATAAATAAATTGCATTCATATCCTGACATACTGCAATTTTACAGTATCTTTGATTGCATAAGTCTTTTCCTGAAGTGACAGCAATTTCCTATCATATTCTGAACATTTTTAACCATGCAACAAAGTAGAATTTACAATGTGGGAGACTGTCACATTAGTGCCCTTTGGATTTATACTTATACCTAAGGACTTTATATTTGCTACAATTCTGCTCTTCCTCACACAGTTTCTCAAGTTGACTGAAAATAATGATTTTTCAGACAGAGTAACTCTCTCATTACATTAGCTTTATCTCCAAGACATTTTCTGGTTTCCATGACTATCCTTAATTTTGCACAACTGATGGTAAAAGACTATTTCTGTTATCTTTCCCAACTTCAAATGCACAGTTGATTGGAATTTTCTTCCTGCTGTTCCATCTGCTGTCTGGGACTCCTTTATAGCTATGACAGTCTCTTAGGAAAACAGACTCTTTAAAAACTAATGTTGAGCAATATCAATGGGAGAAGAGATTATAACTACATCTGGTGTGCATTATTTCCCCAACTTCACTTCTGTTCTTCTGCATAACATGTTCTGTCTTTCAAGTTACAGAAAGGACTCATTTTAACCATTTTATGGATTCATTTTTAACTCATAATTACGTTGAATGAACCAAATACAATTGAAACTAGCCTTTCTAACTTAGACATTATTAAAATGCCAATTTTTATAGTATGCAATGAATGATTCATTCAGAAGCTATAATAAAAACCCACATCTCATTTCTTCACTAAGTGACCATGAAAAGCTAGCTTTCTTGAGACAAGTTAGGGTTATTTAAAAGTAATTTTCATAACAGTAATTCACCACTAGTTTGCTGTGGTATATTCCACTTTTCTAATTTTCAGGGAGTTGCAAAGCAAAATTGTATCTAAAGATGTGATGAGAGTATGCCAAGTAAGAACAGACATTTTGAGTAAGCAATGTGTATTGCTGTAAAGCCCAATGACCTCTTTGGTGTTTTGTTTTGTTTTTTAATCTTTCTTACATCACTTTGAAAAGTTAAAAATATCAGAAGGCTAACTTTCCAACAGTTGAGATATCACATATTGGGGATGCCACTAATTTTCTTTTAAATGTATTATTTATACATACAAGAACTGGGGTACAAGCCAGAGGTGTGTGTGGGGGTGGTGAGAGGATTCACCAGAGACAGAGTGGGGAACAGAACAGGGAGATCGACTAAAATACACTGCTGAGGGGAGCAGCAGGTGAGTCAGGAGAGATCTGCTGTGCCACGTGGGTAGCTCCTTCCGGGGATTGAACTCATGTTGCAGCGACTGCTGATAGCTTCACAGGCTGTGTCTTAATCCTTGAGCCACCAGGGAGGCTCGTATTACTGATTTAAATGTAATTTTACATCTGTGTCTGTGAGTAACGAAGTTTTAGTCCTCAACAAAATTAAAGTTTGTGATAATGTTAATGAGGAGGAGAAGGATGTTAGCAATTATCTAAAAAGATAAAGAAGTTTAATAAAGTCAACAAGGAAGAAGGTGATTATAATAGAACAGTTTAGCTCAGCTTACTTAGTCTACTTAAATGACTATCTTAAATTCTAAGAGTTCGTCTTCTTAAATTTTATGCTCAAATAATATTTATTTCATGAAGTAATAGTGATAAATGGTATTTGTAGATGACTGAATTGTTTCTAATATTCTGTCTTGGCAAATTAAATCTATTGTCACTAGGATCTGGATATTTTATATATCTTTGAATACCAGATGTTTACAATCACTAATCTAGAAGACACCCTCTATTTGAGTTCCCAATCCAATAGAAATCATCATTACATTGTTTTGGTAGTGGTGGTGAAACAAAATAATTAAATTTGCCACCATAGTGCCTCCCCTGGTGACGCAGAGGTTGAGTGCTGGGCTGTGAAGCTGCCTGCAGCCTCTGTAGGGCCGATTTGATCCCCAGCCACCGGTGAGGGTCCCACATGGCGTGAGAGACCACTCCTGCCACTCCCGCTGCTCTCCTCAGCAGTGTACTTCGTCAGTCTGCCTGTTCTGTTCCCAGCTCTGGCTCTGGTGAATTCTCTCACCCTCCCGCGCTTCTGACTGTACCCAGCGCTTGTATAAATAAATAAATAAATCTTTAAAAATAAATAAATAAATTTGGTACCATATTCTTTGGAACATATCATGACAGATAAAAGTATATGTATGCATTATCTGGAATGATAACTCTTAATTTGCTGCATAAATAAAGAGATGGGGAAAATGAATAAATAATTATCAATGTATTTCAATTCATTTTAATATCAAGCAATACTAATGTATAAAGCATCTAAGAATCCATAAATTATAATACAGAAATAATATCCCCTCTAAGGAACAGAGATGAAGAAAAAAGTGACAGGAGATATTTTTTAACTTAGGAGCTAAAAATAATTGGAAAGGCTCAATTGTTGTTTATGTGTTTGCTTCCAAACACCATAGACATACCTTCTCCTGGGACCCTTCCCTCTTTCATGTGCATGAGGGTTGTGCAGAAACCTGGAGATATTTCAATCATCCTGGAATATAGCTTTAATTCTGACAGTTCTCATTCAAAAATTTTACTACCTGATTATTCTTTTCTAAGTAATATTCAGAAACTACACAATATATACTATTTCTAGCAATTATAAATAAGTCTATTTGCATCCAAAATGAAAAGAAAAAAAACACAAAAAAATGACGATGAATATATTTACAAGGCTGTGATTTTGATTATTCACCCTAATTGGCATCAATCTTTAGTTGCCATGAATTGGAAATTTCTATTATATCACATGCTCTGTTATTGTAAAGACATTATAAATGGAGTGTTATATTAGTCTTTAACATTAATGCTTATAATAACTTTTGCATAATGTTTATAATAACTTTTGGAATATTCCTACCTTATTTAATGAAAGAAACCCAAGTTTTGGATAGGCACATGACCATTAACCTAATAAACTTTTCCAGCCTTCCTTCAACTTATCTAGGGATGTAACCTAGGTCTAGCAAATAGGGATAATAAAACATGATGATACTTCCTTGTGGACCCTTAAAATTATGCTAGTCGTCATCGGTAATCAATCCTGAGGAAAAAAGAACATGGTCCCTAACTTCAGATTCTTCTACAAAGCTACAATAATCAAAGCAGTATATAACCGAAGTAAAATATAGACATAGAGATCAATGAAATAGAATTGATATCACAAAAATAAAAGTATACACATATGGATGATTAATTTATGAGAAAAGAGCCATGAGTATACAATGGAGGGAAAAGAAATCTCTTCAAAAAACAGTTTTCAGAAAACTGAACAGCAACAAGCAAAAGAATGAAGTGAGAGCACTATAGTACATCATATACTAAATTTAATTAAAAATGGATTGAAGACTTGAATATAAGATCTATAGGCATAAAATACATAGAAGAAAACATAGGTGAATAGCTCTTTTATTCTGGTCATAGCGATGTCTTTGTGGATTCTAACAGCAAGAAAAGCAAAAGAGAATATAAACAAATGTGATTACATCCAACTAAAAGTTTTCTGCACAGCACAACAGAACAAAAAAGCCACTATTAAAACAGAAATGCAGCCTACTGAACACACAGATACTCACCTCTTCTGCACGGAGGCCACACATCTTGTTTCCTGACAACAGCTTATTTTTCAGGCTTTTATTCTAAAGACAGAAACATAGTTTTATTGGTAAGAAGTAACAAAACATTAAGAATTTCCTTAAGTATCTCAGCAGCTATTCTGTTTTAATCACAGATAGGTTCTCCTTGATGTGAGCTGTAATGGTTTTATATGAATTCAGCATAATCTTTAATGTAAAAGAATGTTTATTTTATTACATTAAAATGTTAATATAGTAGCATGAACACATGCATTGGAACTTTATTTGGTATTACACTGAGTTTGTGTTTTATTTTCATATAGCACTTTGATTTTATAGTATGATTTTTATATATACAGTATATAATTTTATAGTACATAATTATATATATTTAATTTTATAGTATATAATTTAATTTATAGTCTATAATATAGTGCATAATTTAATTTATAGTACATTATTTTATTGTCTATAATTACATATATAACTATGATTTTACTATACTTCATATAGTATGATTTTAGTTTCAAATCTGCAGTTGATGCCAGTTTCTGAAAGCACGCCTCTGAACAGCAAGCATTTATTCCCACTATCATTTGGCTGCTGCTCCCATTGTGTTCCAGTATAACATAGCCACAGAACCATTGTCAGGATGTGCCTTCCCTTTAAAGACCATAGTTTCAGAATCGTTTTATATTCTTGATTTCTGTACATTTCACTTAGGCTTCTTGATGCTCAGAAGCAATTTCCTTTTCCAGGCTTTAGAAGAGTGCTCTATGGGCTGGAAGTGAGTATAGACAGTTTGCTAACCTTTTGACTTACCACGATTGATCTAGGTCAATAGGCAAATATTTTTTACTTCCAACATACAAGCTACCAGTTCCTAACCATATAACCTTAAACCTTAAACATTTACTTTATTATTCAATCTTTTCTGTTTTTTTTTTCCCCTAAGTAATGAGGTACCTGGATTCCTTTTAGACAGTCAAGATAAAGAAGAAGTGAAAACTTTGTAAAACCAACAGGACTTTCTTTATAGGTGCAAACAATATAACAGTAAAGTACACCTCATGTATAAATGACTCTAAAAAAAACTCAATTTAAGAAGCACCATGAGCCAACTGAAGAAATTTATGCAGAGTGAATGAATAAATGAATGAATACATCAAATTTAAGAGTTCTTTACTCACAATTCCACCTGATTTTCAACATCATTTTTGATTTTATTTTCTTATCATGCAGTGATAGGGTACAGCTGCCTTGGTTTGAAAGGATTCTTTGTGTAATTTTTCCTCTTTAGCTAAGAGTTGAAATTCTAAAAAGCTCATTTAGAATTTCAATACCATGAAATGTTTTGCAAAAATGAGGAGTTATCTTGATTCACTCAAGTAATGTATTTTTTGCAAATATTTGCACTCATCATACAACAAAGCACAAGATTAGGGTTTTCAAAGAAAATTTAATGTACATTATCCCCATATTTAAAGCTTGTTAACTACAATAAGGGAATATATACTGATATTCAAACTATGATGTTGCTCAGCTCATATTTTAGTTTAAAAAACACCTGAGTTTTCATTCTGCTCACGTCTTTGATTTTTTCATAATAAAAGCTTTTTTCCTAATAAAATAGTATATTTTTTTCTTTTAGATTTCTGCTACTTTTTGTACATCAAGATATTTTTACTCTCTCCAAAAATTTTAATATTTGCTTAGATTTTTATATTTTAGATTTATATTATTTAGTGGACTGGTGAAATTCAAATAACATCTATAGTTTGTTTAATAATATTGTATTATTAATTTTCTGATTCAATAGTGCATTATTACTCTCTGTGTTGTTACATCAGAGGCTTTTGGGTAAGGGGTAATGCTTTCCTATGTCAAAAATTATTTCAAAATAAAATGTTAAAATGTCAAAAAATAAAATTAACATTAAAATCCATGCATATACAACTGACAGATGAAATGCATGAAGTACATCTAATAAGAGGATTTATGTGCCAACACATTCCATGCATACATGAATAACATTATTAGAGGTGACAATAAATTTGAACATATACATATATATATATAAATTGTGTGTAGTCTATATACTTAAAATTTGATCTGAATTCAATTAAATCTCCCTTTCTTTCATAGATCAGATGAACATATAAAGGAATTTTTATGATTATATATACTATTGTTCTTTAGTCACATATCTGTGTCAACAGAAGTTTAGAATCCTTTTCTCTTAGAACATACTCAATTGTATTTTATGATATAACTACAAGGATCAACTTACACCTGAGAGTTAAGGGTTATATGTCTTAGATCTAAAGGAGAATTTCCTATCATGTTGTTCAATCACAAGCAGCTTACATGTTTCTATTAAAAAAATGTCTGGAGTTTCCTCAGTCTACTAAAAATGGAGCTACTATATGACCCAGAGATTCCACTACTAGGGATCTACCCAAAGGACACAAAAACATTGATCCAAAAGACCACCTGTACCCCTATGCTTATTGCAGCACTATTTATAATAGGTAAAACCTGGAAACAATCCAAATGACCAAAAATAGATGACTGGATCAAGAAGATATGGTATATATACACAATGGAATATTACTCAGCAATCAAAAAAGATAAACTCATGCCATTCACAGCAATGTGGATGGAGCTAGAAGGAATTATGCTCAGTGAGGTAAGTCAGAAGGAAAACGAAAAATGTCGGATGGTTTCACTTACAGGAGAAATATAGGCGAACCAAACAAGACATCAGTATAAAAAATAATAACAATACAAAACACAACAAAACAAATACAGACAATTATAAACCAGAGGGAAGAGGAGGGAGAGTAATCAGAGGGAGGGAGGAGCACAGGGGACTGTGGTGATGGTGCGCAGGTGCATTGGTGAAGGAAATTCTGTGGGGACTACACCTGAGGGGGTGGGGGAAGCAAACATTGTTTAAAAGTAAATGAAAAATGGTGTAAAAAAATACATATAAAAATAAAAAAATAGAAACAATTTACGTCAGTTAAAGCAAAGTCAAATTCACTTGAGAGTCTGTTTATTCATTCTGTTCCATTTTAATGTGATAAAGTAGTGACTAGAATGTTCTTTCGCTGAAGAGTTTATGACAGACTTGGACACTGTACTTCTGCTGTACAGGGAAGTCTGTCACTCCCTGACATAGATATTCTTGTGACCACCCAAATATGGGCAGTGAGTGTATTCTATATTGATAGTCCTCTCTGGCAGTAATTTTGGGCAACTGTTTAAAGAATTATGCTTTCATTAAGCTAAATATCATTTCCAGAGCTTAAAAATTAGTGTACTTCATTATTTTGAAATACACCCAGAACTGGGGATAATTAATTATAATCACCCACAAAAGAGCCAATCATGAGACATATGGGAACCTTGTCAAGGCAAATGCTGTGGCTGTTGCTATGTTATTGAGAACATTGTGAATGGCATAGAAAGCTGAAAAGGGACCTTGATTCTCAGACAATTCACAGATTTAACCTTTCCACTTGTGATGAGTAATCATACTTTTTTGGTTGAGAAAAATTATGACTTGATATCATTTAGACATTAAGAACATAAATTTATAGTTTTGTAAGCAGACTTGTATAATTTCCTCTACCCTCTAAACAATGGGTGCATCCCTATCAAAGCTGATGATGCTTTTACAAGAGCTAAAATAGCAACTTACACACATAATTACATCCAAAATGCTGGGAAACAATTATTCTTGTGCCTTATTTGAGGGGATATAAAGCAAAGTTTATTAAAGAATCATCAAATGTTTAAATGTCTGTTTTTTTTTTTTTCTGTTACACATTTACTGTCCTTTCTTCTAATGATGGTTAGTATTTTTATTTTTGTGTAGAATAGCTGGGGTTTAGGCCAGAGGTGTGGGATGTGACAGATTCACCAGAGACAAAGTGGGGACCAGAACAGGCAGATTTACTGAAATACACTGCTGAAGGGAGCAGCAGGTGAGACAGGAGAGGTCTGCTGCACCATGTATGGGTTAGCTCCCTGGCCAGGGATCAAACTCAGACCTGGCCTTAGAGGTGATAGCACTGAGACTTAACCCCTAGACCACCAGAGAAGCCCTCTCTGATTTTTCTGATAGGAAATATTTTCCCTTGCGAATTCCATGTAACTTGTGTAACTACCTATTATACCAAGGAAAAGGATAACCCAAGCCCAATCAATGTGTCTTAGTTAAGATTTGGTAAAGTAACCTAAGTATTACTAAGACTAAAAAAATATTTTCGTTTCAAAAATCATAAATAGAAAAAAAAAATCATAAATAGGTGTTAGGGGTCATTGTTAAGTCAGAATTTGAGAACAGGTCTGACCTAGAAAATTAAAACCTGATTATGAAGGAAAATACTGAATCCCCGTGATGATGTTGCTGCCTCACCTCCTTTTCATACAACCTTGCCTGAAACTCATACATACCTGGAATTTTCAGCTTCATCCTTCATATGTCAACCCCTCTGCTCTCTCAACATCATACTTATTTTTGCCTTCCCTATCTTATGTAATCACAGAACTTTGTCATTTCCTTAGTAACCAGAGCAGTAAAAAATAACATCCAACAAACCAAGCTTCTATCACATGTTAAAGTCATAGATTACCAGAATGTGGACATGGAATATTTTCATTGATTTGGGTGTCTCTAAATGGAAGGCAGACCTTGCTTAATAGGGAATGTCTCCAATTGTATTATTTACTGCATAAACTTTGGTTAGCTTAAATAAAGATCCCCACTGACTTCCTGGGAACCCAGTGTGTGCATGTGTCAGCCCTACCTAAATATGTTATTTAATATTTCCCAAATTCTATATATATTAAAGTGATATTTGATAGTAATCATTTTTTTTCTTAAAAAGCATGTCTGCTAAATCTAGCTTCAATTTTTACCAGGAAACTTATAATGTCACATATTCAATATTGCTTACATGATAGTTTTAACCCAACAAAAATTCTGGGCCACAAAAGAGTTATATAAATCTAGTATATTACTATAATCTTGATATATGTAAACACAAACATTA